CACCCACGCGGTCGCCGGTGCGAAGGACGTAGGTGCAGGGACCAAAACCCCCACCACGCTGACGCTGCGTGTACCATTCACGGAGCTGCTGAGGGGGGGGGATGTCACGAGAACGCTGCTGCTGCTGGTGCTGCTGCTGCTGGCGCTGACCACCACCAGTGCTGCTCCGCTGCGAAGCGCCACCCCGACCACCTCCACCACCTCCACCACCGCCTCCCCCACCTCCGCCACCGCCGCCGCCTCCGCCAGTACCGCCGCCACCTCCGCCGCCTCCGCCTCCACTGCTGCTACCGACACCTCCACCCCCGCCACCACTCCCACCGCCACCCCCACTCCCTCCGCCGCCTCCACCTCCACCTCCACCGCCCCCGCTAGCTCCACCCGCTCCCTTGCCCCCCTTGCCCTTGCCAGGGCGGCGTCTCCCGCTAGGGGCAGACGCCGCACCGACCGACTCAAGACCAACTAGGTCGGCCGCAGCGGCAGAGGCGACAGAGGGCAAAAGGGGGGAAGGAGAACACCCCTCAAAGATGGGGGTGCGAGGGTCACCACGAGAGTCCCCTACAGCGACTATGCTCTTCTCGGCCGCTAGGAGGGACTTCTCGATGAGGTCTACAGTGAGAGTGGTGGGACAGACTGAGAGGAAGTGGTCCCTGACTACACGAAGGGAGTCAGGGAGACGAGTGACTATGAAGTAGAGAGTGATGTACATGGGGGGGGGGGGGGGTTCTTGGCGCAGAAGTCAGTAGGAAGCGCAGCGCGGTAGCGAGTGTCACTAGTGCGGACGTGCGTAATGAGGTCAGCGACTGTGGGAAAGGCAGCAAGGTCAGGGAAGAGGTATGGTAGCATGAGACGACTCAGTGCAGCTGTGGCAGGGGAGGAGTAGCGCGCAACTACAGCGTCGTACAGGGTCTGAGCACTCTTGTACTGACTAAAGTGCGCACGCTCAGAGGTAGGGAGGTGGCGACGCACAGCAAGACGTGCAGCAGCATCGCGCGTGGCCCACTGGGAGCGAACAGTAGGGTCAGCATCAGCAGCAGGGGCAGGAGAGGCGCCAGAGGTGAGGTCAAAGAGAGAAAGGCCGTCTGCCCTATCGCACTGTAAGAACAGCTGCAGGTCGTCGACCCAGACCTCAAAGTCAATGGCGCGACCCTCAGCGTCAAAAGCTAGGACACTAGGGGTAGCCATGACAGCAGTAGACTAGCAGTAGTGACTGTAGGACAGGGGCAGTGCAGTGACAGAGGTGCCGTTCTCACCATACATGGCGGTTCGGGCAGCTCAGCAGCACAGCAATACGGCAACACTGTTGCTCAGCCGGCCCAGCAGCAACAGCAGCTCCGCGGGACCAGCGGCTCGGCTCCTCAGGCGGCTCGGGCGGCTCGGGCGGCGCAGGCGGCTCGGGCGGCTCGGGCGGCTCGGGTCCTCGGCGGCACAGGCGGCTCGCGCGGCTCGGGTCCTCAGCGGCACAGGCGGCTCGGGCGGCTCGGCTCCTCAGCGGCTCAGGCGGCTCCGGCGGCTCGGCTCCTCAGCGGTTCAGGCGGCTCGGGCAGCTCAGGTGGCTCGGGCGGCTCTGGTGGCGCAGGTGGCTCGGGCGGCTCGGGCGGCTCGGGCGGATTCGGGCGGAGCGGGCGGTGCAGGGCTGCGGGGCCGCAAGGGAGGTGGCGGGGCCGCGGGGAAGGGCGGCAGGGGCCGCAACGAAGGGCGGGGCCGCTACGTAGGGCGGGGTCACGACGTAGGGCGGGGCCGCGACGTAGGGCGGGGCCGCGACGTAGGGCGGGGCCGCGACGAGGGGCGGGGCCGCTACGTAGGGCGGGGCCGCGACGTAGGGCGGGGCCGCGACGTAGAGCGGGGCCGTGACGAGGGGCGGGGCCGCGACGAGAGAGGCGGGGCCGCGACGAAGGGCGGGGCCGCGTCTAAGGGCGGGGCCGCGACGTAGGGCGGGGCCGCGACGTAGGGCGGGGCCGCGACGTAGGGCGGGGCCGCGTCTAAGGGTGGGGCCGCGACGTAGGGCGGGGCCGCGTCTAAGGGCGGGGCCGCGACGAAGGGCGGCGGGGCCTAATCGACGGGCGGCGGGGCCTCTAGGGCGGCTCGACAAAATGAGAGAGGGCCCGGAGCGCGACTCAGGGCGAGCGCGCTTCGGGCAGGAAAAAAAAATCGATGTGGTGGGCCCTAGGCACAGTTCCCACGGGGGAACCTGCTCGATACCATGAGAAAAGTAGCACGAGAATGAATGAACTATGGAATGAAAGTGATACAAGTATGCAACCCTAGAAGTGTGTAGCCCCTATGGGCTACCCCACTATAGCCTACAGAATATTACAATTTGACACTCAGGTCTCTCGGGTGGTAGTCCAGGTGGCAGGTCGTCGGGGAAGATGCCCGGGTACCTCCGAATCAGCTCCGCTAAATCCGGTGGTACTGCTGCACACAGCTTCTCGATGTCCTTTCCCTCGGTGTCGAGTGCCAACTCGCGTAAGCAAACAGCGAACAGCTGCGCGCCCCTGTTGAAGTGGCGAGCTATAGTGATAGCTTTGACGCACGGCGCTTGGATGTAGTCAGGGGTCCATGCAGGTAATTTTATTAACCCCGCGTGCTTGCTGATGTTGCACGATCCCGTCGTCCAGTCGATAACGGGGTTGTGTCGTCGCAGCCAATCACGTCCCAGCAGTACGTTGCAGCCGTCCAATGTTGTCGCGAGAAACTTCATGCTGAAGCCGAAATCGTCGCCGCAGTTGATCCTGGCCGTCCGTGTTTCTTCCGTTATCGCCAGAGGCGTCCCATCCACGAGGCGGGCGTCAATTTCGGGCAGACACCTGTCGAGTTGCAGCTTGCAATTTTTTGCGCTCGCCAAGTTGAAGAGGCTATGGCTGGCCCCCCTACCTTGCCAGCGACCAGCACAGGGTGATCCACATGATTATCCCCGTTATTCGTGTCAGTAGAGCTACACTGGGAGATCCCCGATCGATCCTAGGGGGGGTTACAGGCGCGTTTGCCTGGGGGGTTATGGGCGCACTGACCCGCTACTGAAACAAGCCCTTTTATCCCAATGGTCTAGTGGTTGGGATTCTGACATGGTATCAGAGCGGTCTTGGGTTCGAATCCCGGTGTATGCACATGTTGGCCGTTGCCACTGTGCTCAACCCTGGGCCTCCCAGTGTGGAGGGGTGTCAGTAGAGCTTCACTGTGAGATCCCCGATCGATCCTAGGGGGGGGTTACAGGCGCGTTTGCCTGGGGGGTTATGGGCGCACTGACCCGCTACTGAAACAAGCCCTTTTATCCCAATGGTCTAGTGGTTGGGATTCTGACAATTCGGCCGAGTGCGATCGATTGCATGAATCGGAACCACGACTCGGTGGGGATGATGGTGTTCGGGCGACGGAGCACAGTCAGTAAAGGGCCCGCTAATTACTGACTCTTCCCATTTCCCTGCTCCTTCCTGCCGTCCCCTGTCAGCGGCATTTTCTCCTGGCATTCGTTCCTGTAGTGACCCACCTTCCCACACCGAAAACACGGACCCTTAGGTGGGCGGTCGGGTGTATGGACGGCGTTGATCGTGGCCCGATGGGTCTGGCCACGAAAGCTTCTCCCATCCCTGGAAGCTGCTCTCGCGTACTGCATTAGCGCATCAGTTGACTCCGCCACACGTACTGCTTCGAGGAACGATGTCGGGCGGCTTCGACGGACCTCAAACTGTATTTAAGGCCGCTGACGTATTTATCCAACCGCTCTGCTTCCGACATGTCATCGATCTGGTCGGCGAAGCCCATTAATGACGCCGTGTAGTCTTGGACAGAAGCCATCTGCGACCATGCACGCAGCTTCATGCGAGCTTGCTCCGAGGCGGATACGTGCTCGAAGCGATCTCGTAAGGCTGCGCCCCACTCCTTCCATGTGCGTATCTTGGTCACACCGAAGATCGGTTCTGCCACTTGATTAACCACTGTAGAGGTCCCGTCTGCCGCATGTGTCACACCTGTCGAAGTCCTTGTTTCTAAGGTTCGGCGCCACCATTCAAGCGCCGCGCCCCGAAGAAGTGAAACCGCGTAATTAATACACGTGGCATCGTCGTTAACGCCTGCTGCCGTGAAGAAGACTTCAACACCGAACAGCCACCCTTTCACTGTAGTCGTCTTGTCCGTGGGATTAAACGGGGGCGGGTTGACGGGTTTGATCTTGATCGTCGTAACTGCAACTGGCGCTGCTGCCGCTCGCTGCCTATCTTCTTCTTCGAAGTCACGTGTGAGAGCATCCAGCGGGTTGCTCATCGCCAGACTGTTGCCCTCGCCTTCGTCCACAGGCGACTCCTGACGCGCTTCACCTCGCGTCTGGCGTAGCTCGGCGTTTTCCTCTCGTAGTGTTGTCACTTCCGCCATTAATGTCTTCATGCTCTCCTGCATTTCTGCCACTTGCGCCATCATCCGGTTAACAGCCTCCTGATCCATGTGCCTAGCACTACGTCTGGTGGGCAGTCGGGTCTCCGTGGCCTTCAGGCAAGTGAAAACACGAACTATCGGAGTCGGGCAGGATTGAATTAACAATCCCTGCAGCCAACCGTCGTCTAGTCACTAAACCAGCCACACCCTATGCCCCCAAACTACCCTCGGAAAAGCGGGGTGAACTAGGAAAGTAGCTCTGATACCAGGTGTTATGAGTTGTAAAGGAGAGTGCGCAGGTAAACGAATAACGAGGCTGTGACGAAATGAACTGCGAATACAATGAATGCACAGACTAATGTAGGGCTAGCCTGCCTAGGAGGGAACCTCGGGAAATGAGGTTGGGTGCAGGTTTGGCGATGGGCATGCCGAAGGCGACGCGAGGAGCCTCGGCAGCGTTGAAATCGGCCGAACGTGCGAACTCCGAAAATCGGGTTGTACGCAAAGCAGTCAACCCCGATAAGGAATTCAGGAAAATTCCTTACACATGTGCATTGTAGTAATAAGATCTTGTACATGTACCAACTTATAATTCCTCAATGACCACCATACATTAATATTCTCCCTTTTCAAGCGTAAAGCATTGGTGGATCAGTACTCCCCCATGCCACCCATCGAGCAACAGCCACATTGATAGGAGTCCTGTCAACCTTCACTGCACCCCACAACCGTGAAGTTACAGTGCTGTGTGCAATAAGCAAAACCGGCACAAACGCACCAAACCCTTTCTTGGTCTTTACTATATCGAGTATGCCACTGTACACTGCTGCAGCTGCACCCTGTGCTGCACTGCACTCTCTTTCCGAGCACCAACCGTTGGGAACCTCCGGTGGCGGTCGAAACGAACGTGATTTTAACGAAGTCAATAAATTCGGCTGTGACCGAATCAGTCTAGTTAGGCAGCCGACAGGGTTGGTGGTGTTGGGAAGCTGGTTACCAATCAGCAGCGAGACTCTATCGAAGGCAGGGTTGACGATAAAGAAGGGAGAAGAGGCAAGGGGAAGGGCGTATTGGGGAAAGAAGCATCGCCACCGCTCAGATGCAGGGGTCACTGCAGGCAGGGCGGGGTGTGCAGAGGGACAAGGGAGTTCTGAGGAGATAGGTGGCGGGAGGCGACGCAAAAGACATGGGATAGATGGACTGATAAGACAGAGATATAGTGCGAAGCTATCTTGGGATACGACTGTTAGTCCCGGCAGTGGCAAGGTGTTAAGTAACGGAGGGCATAGAAGGAGAGACGGTTCAGAGGGAGGAAGAACAGCGGGCAGAGAAGGGATACAGTGGGAGGGGAGAAAAAGAGGACCAGAACAGCGCCAGATACAGGCAATGAGCAGGCATAGACTGTGAGTGGTTGCATGGGAGCGCGTGGAGGGCCCACCTTGATCACAGCGGGACCGCGGTGAGAATTGATGCAGCGCTGAGACCTGCTGAGCCAGGCTCTGGAAGTGCATTCGCCCCGTGCGGTCCGGTGCGTCTGGTGGGGGGGGAAAAGGAAAACAGTTGGGAGAGCGTAGGAACCGGGTGGAGAAATTGGGGTGGGAATGGTTCAAGGTGGGAGAGAGAGAATGGGGGAAATGCAGATATAATGGGGGCAGGGAGGAAGGAAGCCAATGGTGGGAGGGAGGTGATGGTAAGTGGAGGCCAGTGACCCAGGAAGTACCGAAGCGGCACTTACCAAGAAAAAGACACTTCTCCTTCTAAGTTCTCAGTGGGAAGCGAACAAGAGGTTGCGTACCAGGGACAAAAGAGAAGGGGAGCGAACCCTGGAAGAAAGAGAAGACATGCGTACCGGGGAAGAAGGAGCCATCGAGGAGGCATTTGACGGTGGCGCGGGGCAGCAGAGCAGCGAGGGAGTCACACAGGCGCATCACTGCCAGCCCCCCCGCTGACGTCCCCGACACCAGCACCGTCGTCGCCCTTTCTATCGCCCGGTTCGCCAGCAGGTCTGGTGAGGTGAGCAGCGGTTGGCGGAGGGCCAGGAGAACGGGCAGAGGGAGAAGAGGTAGGAGAAAGAGCGGTGGGAGAAAGGCAGAAAGTCACTGTCATGCATGTTTCATCAAGGTACTGGCAGGTGGCTGGCGGCTCTGCCCCCAAGGAAACGACTTCGAAGGGACCAGATATCCCTAGCACATTCCAAAGTACCACACGCACATTCCTAGGAGCGACTAAAGGGACTCCCACACGTCCTCATTACGGCATATTCCAAGCAACGCACCGTCCATGATAGCGCTGACGATCCTGCTGCCATCCATGTGCACGTAGCGCCCCTCCCCCACGGCCACGCGCCCGGCTGCTCCCGCATAGCCGCCCCCATCGCAGTAGACAGGCATGGCCAGATGCCACCCCGCAAAGAACGGGTTCGCCTCATCGTTGCTGCTCAAGATGCCTCTGAAACGGCCCTGCACCCACGAGGCCTGGGGGAGAGTGAGAGAGAGCGCAGGAAAGAGTTGAGGCCGAACGGGAGATTGAAAATCATGTGATGAAGCCAGCAAGTCCAATTGGCAATGGTCCATTTCAAGCAGCAATGGTTGTTTTTCCCTAAGGGTTTGCTGCTGCCCGCAATGTTCCTAAGCCAAGGCAGCCTGGAGAGACCGATAGGGTGGTACAGGGGGTTGGGGATTGGGGGTTGGGTTGGTTGAACCCTTTCATGCAATTAGAACATCCTGTTAATGATCAAAAGTGAACACTTGTCAAAGCGCAAGTGGCGGAGGAGATAATCCCACTTACGTTATTGGTCGGCGGCCACCTGGTGGTGCCGCCCAGCAGCCGCCCGGCCCGCCATCTGCACTGCCTCTTGTTGCCGCACCACCCGCCGCCCGGAAAGTGGATGTGCCACGAGGTGACGCCTTCCCCAGGTGCCGCCCGCAGGTAATACCCCGGCGGACTGGGATGCATGAAGGGGGGACGAGCGGAGAAGAAGACAAGCGGAGAAGGGGATAAGGGGGAAGCGGAATGAGGGAGTGGGGGAGTAGAACCAGTTTAGTCCTGGCAATATGGTGGTTGGTGGAAAGCTACAAGATTTGCACGCAGCTCTATTACGAAGCACACCTTGATGGGGACAATGATTGTACCAGCGATCTCAACAGCGCATGATGCTTGACGGACGTCACTTTTTTTTTTCTGTAGAAGCTTCCACTCCATACCTCCCATCCAGGCATCGCGCTCCGTATTTATTCTCCGGAAGAAGAACCAACGTGGCGAGACGTGGTTCGCTCGCCGCTCGCCGCGCCGCTCCTAGCCGCAGCGCGCTCAATTTCGATGGGCACACCGCCAGGACGAACAAAAACGTCACGGCGATTTGCCATGCCACGTGGACGCCTGGCCTTCGATCAGGACAGTAGAATTCAAAGCCTCGCATCGCCGAGATCGACGGGTAGAGAGTCATGATGGGATGTAAGATGCGGCGCGAAAAGTTCGCCCGGTAACAACGCGGCTTCAGCATGCGAGATCAGGCGACGGAATTTTGGAAGAGATGACCGCGAAAGAGACGATAGGGGAAGAGGTGATAGGGCAGGGCGGTACGGGAGGAGTGAACCGTGCGGTGAAAGGCCAGATATGGAGATGAGGGCTGGACGGGCCGCTGCCGGGGACAGATCGTCACAGGTGATTCGTGAGACGATCGGCATGGTGGAAATCAGCTGTCAATAAATAGGCGATTCCGCAGCAACTAGCTTGGCGAGTACTTAGCCACGTTGCGGTTAGCGGTTGTGCGCCTGAACGCTATTGGACACGCGTAGCTGTAGGATTGGCTGAAATATCCAGCAGTATCAGACACTTGATGACTGGAGGTCCTTCCTGCGGTGCGGAGTTCCCTAAGCGGTCTTCAGGATAATCCGAATCGGGCGACAAAGTCGAGAAGACAGGTGCTGCAGCGACAACAGAGGTTGGCGCTGGTCGGTTTTTGGCAGCCATTACTTTTACTTCTGACTGGCGCGCAGGGTGTGTGCGAGGAGAGATGAACAGCGATACCACCTAGTCGCCGCTTATTTCATCCCCAGAAACGACTCAATTTAAAACCCGAAACATTTTCCGGCAAGATCAACGAGACACCAAGAACTAGGGGCTATGTTATATGCTGTCATCTGTGGATGCGCAAAACTCTCGCTACTGAACCGAACGCAGCCCATGGTCTGGATGTTTACTTGAGAGTCATTTTCCTTTGTTCCTGGGAAGGAGTCCCTAACATACCCTCTCATATTTCGGTCTGTCATAGAAAGCCCCGAAGACCAGGGGCTGTTGCCGATGGGTGTGATATTTAGGCCTTGAAATTGCTGGTGACCAGGAGTGTGATGGTTTGGGAAAAGCATGCAGGGAGAGTGTTATGAGTTGTATGAAAGAGGAGTGCGCAGAATTCAATATCGCGGAAGTGATTACAACTACTGAGAGCACAACGAGGCCTAGAACTAATATAGCGAAGCTAGCTGGGCCGAGGTTGTAGGGTCGCAGGATGGCTGGGTGCAGGTCCGGGGTTGTGAAACCCGAAAGCGACGCAATAGTGGTTCGGAAGGCGAGGTCGTCGGACCGAGCCTGTTTTTCCGAAAAGTCAGGTTTGTACGCGTACAGTGTGACCCAGCAAGGAATCCGAAAAATTCCTTACACTACCCCCCCCCTTAAGAAAGGTGGTGAATATCGGAGACACCACGGCGGGTTAGGTAAGCATCCACAATCGGATGTCCCATGAGCGAGTCAGCAGGGACATACGTGTCATCCTCGCTCGTGCGGTCCTTCCAACGAAGCAGGAATTTCACGGAGCGGCCGGCGGTGGTCACGTCCACGCGGTGGTTCAGAATTTTCCAGGGTTCCAGCGTGGGCTCCGCCACAGGGCGTGTTGTCAGCGCGAGCGTTGGCCGAGCGACAGTTGGCGACTGCGGGGGCTCGTAATGACGCAGGAGGCTGACGTGGAAGGCGTCATGGATTTTCCAGTCGTCGGGCAACAGCAGCTTGGCGGTGACAGGTGTCACCATCTGGACGATACGAAACGGTCCTACGAACCGGGGTCGTAATTTGGCGGGCTGCGGCAGCCGGAGGTTTCTGGTGTCCAGAAGTACAACCTGCCCCGTTCGGAAAGGTAAATTGCGTCGGTGCCGATCCGCTTGGCGACTGGCTGTGGTATTAGCCTTGCGAATGAAATCAGCTGCTCTCATGCGTGCGGTTTGCAGTTCCGTGACAAACTGCTGCGAGCGTGGTACCGGGTTGTCCACGGTTGTCGACGAGGGTACCACAGGATCTATCCCGTAATTCAGGAAGAAGGGCGATTGCTGAGTCGTGGTCGACGAGGCGTTATTGTATGCAAACTCCAGCATCGGTAGTGAATCCTCCCATTTACGAATGTCGGGGCAGTTGGTGCGAATCAGTTGCTCCATGGTCTGATTGGTCCGCTCCGTCTGTCCGTCGGTTTGTGGGTGGTATGACGACGAAAACTGCAGGCGGGTACCATACTGTGCCCACGTCTCCTGCCAGAACTTCGACGTGAATTTTGGGTCACGATCGCTAATGATCGCCGAAGGTAACCCGTGTAAACGGACGACGGTGGAGATGAACAGCTTGGCAGTGTCTTCGGCTGTGATCGTTGTTCGGCAGGGGGCGAAATGTGCCATTTTCGTGAGGCGATCTACGACGACCAAAACCGAGTCGTTGCCACTTGTGTCACAATATCATAGCTTACTTATTTGTGTAGGCTATAGTGGGGTATCCCATAGGGGGTACAACCCAACTAGGGTTTCCTATTTATACTCACTTCATTCATAGTCATTTCATTCACGTTCCTTTCTTCACATGGAATCAGAGCAGGTCCCATCCTAGGGACTGTTCTTTAGGGCCCACCGAAGCGCGCCCGAGGCGCGCGCCTTTTTTTTTTAGCGACCCTCCGAGTCGCCCTTTTCCTTCGCGGCCCCGCCGCCCTACTTCGCGGCCCGACCGCCGCCCTCCTCGCGGCCCAGCCGCCGCCCTACCTTAGCGGCCCACCCGCCGCCCTTGCTAGCGGCCCCGCCGTCCCGTCGCGGCCCCGCCACCCAGTCGCGGCCCCGCTACCCCTACGCGCGGCCCCGCCACTCCGTAGCGGCCCCGCCACCCCTTCGAGCGGCCCCGCCCCTTCGTCGCGGCCCCGCCACTCCGTCGCGGCCCCGCCACTCCGTCGCGGCCCCGCCGCCCCTTCGAGCGGCCCCGCCACTCCGTCGCGGCCCCGCCACCCAGTCGCGGCCCCGCTACCTCTTCGCACGGCCCCGCCACCTCGTCGCGGCCCCGCCACTCCTTCGAGCGGCCCCGCCACTCTGTCGCGGCCCACCCGCCGCCCTACCTGCGGCCTCCCCGCCGCCCTACCTGCGGCCGTCCGCCGCCCTATCTGCGGCCGTCCCGCCGCCCTACCTGCGGCCTACCCGCCGCCCTACCTGCGGCCGCCCGCCGCCCTACCTGCGGCCGTCCCGCCGCCCTACCTGCGGCCTACCCGCCGCCCTACCTGCGGCCCGCCCGGCCGCCCTACCTACGCGGCCCAGTAGCAGCCGAGCCGCCCGGAGCAGCCGAGCCGCCCAGGAGCCGCCGAGCCGCCCAGCAGCAGTCGAGCCGCCCAGCAGCAGCCGAGCCGCCCGGAGCCGCCGAGCCGCCCAGCAGCAGCCGAGCCGCCCGGAGCCGCCGAGCCGCCCAGCAGCAGCCGAGCCGCCCGGAGCCGCCGAGCCGCCCAGCAGCAGCCGAGCCGCCTAGCAGCAGCCGAGCCGCCCGGGAGCCGAGCCGCCCAGCAGCCTAGCGGCCGTGTCGCCAGGCGACCTTCCTCCCGAGCCGCCCGACCTGCCCTGCCCGGTGAGCACTGCACTGCTGTCACTGCGTACCCTTCCCCTATTGCTTGCACTGCGCCACTGTCGTCGTCATGGCTACACCCAGTGTCCTCGCTTTTGACGCTGAGGGTCGAGCCATTGACTTTGAGGTCTGGCTCGACGACCTGCAGCTGTTTTTACAGTGCGACAGGGCCGACGGTCTGTCTCTCTTTGACCTCACCTCTGGCGCTGTCCCCGCCCCTGCTGCTGATGCTGACGCCACTGTTCGCTCTCAGTGGGCCACGCGCGATGCTGCTGCACGTCTTGCTGTGCGTCGCCACCTGCCTACCGCTGAGCGCGCGCACTTTAGCCAGTACAAGAGTGCTCAGACCTTGTACGACGCTGTAGTTGCGCGCTACTCCTCCCCTGCCACTGCTGCACTGAGCCGCCTCATGCTCCCCTTCCTCTTCCCTGACCTTGCCGCCTTTCCCACTGTCGCTGATCTCATCACGCACCTCCGCACTAGTGACACTCGCTACCGCGCTGCGCTTCCTGCTGACTTCTGCGCCAAGAACCCCCCCCCCATGTACATCACTCTCTACTTCCTAGTCACTCGCCTCCCTGACTCCCTTCGTGTAGTCCGGGACCGCTTCCTCGCGGTCTGTCCCACCACCCTCAAAGTCGACAGCCTCGAGAAGGCCCTCCTTGCAGCAGAGAAGAGCATAGTTGATGTAGGAGCCTCTCGAGGTGACCCCCGCGCCCCCATCTTTGAGGGGTGTTCTCCTTCCCCTCTCCTGCCCTCTGTCGCCTCTGCCGCTGCGGCCGACCTCGTTGGTCTTGAGTCGGTCGATGCGGCGTCTGCCCCTAGCGGGATACGCCGCTCTGGCAAGGGCAAGGGGGGCAAGGGAGCGGGTGGGGCCAGTGGGGGCGGTGGCGGTGGAGGTGGAGGCGGCGGAGGGAGTGGGGGTGGCGGTGGAGGTGGTAGCGGGGGTGGGGGTGCTAGTGGCGGCAGTGGAGGCGGGAGTGGCGGCGGCGGTGGCGGTGGTAGCGGAGGTGGCGGAGGTGGCGGCGGTGGAGGTGGAGGCGGGGGCGGTGGAGGCGGAGGCGGGGGTGGCGGAGGTGGAGGTGGTCGGAGTGGAGCTTCGCAGCGGAGCGGCACTGGTGGCGGTCAGCGCCAGCAGCAGCAGCAGCAGCAGCAGCGTTCTCGCGACGTCCCCACCCCTCAGCAGCTCCGTGAGTGGTACACGCAGCGTCAGCGCGGTGGGGGTTTTGGTCCCTGCACCTACGTTCTCCGCACTGGCGACCGCACTGGAGAGCAGTGTGGGGGTGCCCACCCCGCCCAGCGCTGCTTTGGCCGCCTGACGGACGCTTGGCGTCAGCAGTTCCCGGAGGCCGCGGAGATCCCCCGCTGGGGAGAGCTATCTAGGGCTGGTGTAGCTATCTTTGATCTTGATTTTGATGCTATCCTTGCTGCCATGTATGCTGTGACCATTAGTGATGAGGGTGACTGTTACCGGTGTTTCCCGCCCGACCCGGGCATTGGTACTGCTGCTCCAGGTGCCGGTGAGGCTTCTGCTCTAGGTGCCAGTGCGTCTGTGCTCTCAGGTGCTCGTGAGACTGCTCTCTCAGGTACTAGTGCGTCTGCGCTCTCAGGTACTGCGTCGGCTTCGGCCTCCCACACCTTCATTCTTGACTC